CTATGTGCTCACCTGAGGTGAACTGGCAGGTTCCCACCTCCATGAAGAAGGAAGAAACTCAGATTTATAGGGTGAATCCTGAGGACACATGAACGGCTACAGAGTTGGGCCCTGACCTCAGCATTCAGAGGGACAGGCTGAGGAATGGTTGAGGACTTGGCCCTGGGGCCAGGCTGCCTGAGTTCAAATTCCAGCTCAGGCTCTTAATAGCTGATTGACCTTCAGCAAGGACCCTACCCTAGAAGCCTCATCTCTAAATCGGGGAGAATGATAATAACAGTACCTGTCGCACAAGGCTGTACTAAGGATTGAGTTTGTTTGTGCCAAGTTCTCAGCTGTGCCTGGTACATTCTGTGCACCCGCCTCGAGGTGCCATGGGAATAGAGTCCCTGAGGTTCCGTGTGTGATCAGGGTGGAGCTGCAGGAAGTTGGTCTCCCTCCCACGTCAGCGCCGACCCGACCTTCCACACCAGCAGCGAGGTGTGCACTCATGTGGATTCATTGTGGCAAAGCAGCATGCTTTTACAAGGAAAACTCAGACCAGTTGCAAATCCTGGAGCTCAACACTGAGCAATCACTAAAGTAAATAAAGTGAAAATAAACCAATCTCCCAGGTAATAAGAGATAGCCCTTTTGTCTGAACTGGTAATTAATGGAGCCACTGTAGCCACCTTCCTACTTCCCCCGTGCTACTGTGAGTTTAAAAGGGAGTTAAGGAAGGTCTTGGCACACCCACAGCATGTGTACTAAAGTCTCGCCCTTCTCACCTTTCCTAAGCCCAGCAGAGCACAGAACTGCACAGACCCAGCGGAGCGCTGAGAGCAGAAGGCTGGGTGCTGAGCCAATCCAGCCCCCTTTTCCCCCTATGGGAGCTCTCTTGCATAAGGCACAGTTCCCACCCTCCCACAAGTTCTCAGGCCCAGCCACACATTCTGCCCAGCCCTGGGAAGGGCATAAGGGGTCTTCAGAGCAGGTTCAGTGGGGACAGAGGCCCTTAAAGCCTGGCTGCTCCGACCTCCCTGCATCTCCTAGAAAGGCCTGGAGCATCACCCAGGGTCAGGATCTGCCCCTGTAAATGCCTCTCTGGGCCAGCCCATCCCGGATGTGTCAACAGGCAGGCTGGGTAAGAAAGAGCCCTGCTGACATTCAGAAAAAGCCCGGGCTGGGAGCCAAAACAAACAGAAGAAGGGAATGGACTGTCCCCAGAAGAATCTGTCACAAAAGAAAACGCCATATTCCTCAAGCTAGGAGAGACCCTGCATGCAAAATTGTCCATCAGACAGCGATCCCTCGCGTCACCCAGGCAGATGAGGGCCTTCCGGAACCCATCCCAGCAATGGCCTTCAGGAGGGCCTTCTTATGTCCAACCCAGTCCATTGGTCCATTGACTTAGTCTGAAAGGGCAGAGTGGGTACAGGAAAGAATGAAGCAGACCTGTGGTCAAGGCTGGTTTGAACAACGTGCAGTCTGTAGAGGATAAAACCTACAGAGCGCTTCTCCCAGCCCACCCCAGCACCTCGGCCTCAACCACAAACTTATTTTTTATGCAGATGCAGCCATGCTAAATTGGCCACTGAGATCAGCTTCCAGTGGGAAACAAAGACCCAAAAGCTCACTGCTGAGTTCTAAAAGAAGGCAGCTGAGGGGAGGGCCAGCATAGGTGACACTGAAGCATGGGCACTGGCAGAGCCAAACTGCCTGGGTTCAAATCCTGCTTCCTCCATTTGTTAGTGGGCATGATATTTGCCTCTCTGTTTCTCTATTAATTTTTCTGTAAAATGGGAATGATAGCAGTGCCTACTCGGTTGGGTTGTAGTGAGGCTTAAACAAGCAAACTCAGGTCTGGCATTTAATGTACATTGGTTGTCCTGAGGATGACCAGTGTGCCCAGGACATCCTGGCTTGTGCCTGCTGTCCCAGCATCATTATTAACACTGTCCTTTCTCAATTTATTGTGAACAGTTGCACAATAAATTCTAAGGCCGACTAGCTCATTTTTTTTTTCTGCCTCTCTGAGTATTGGGGAGCCAGGTTCCCAAAGTGTATGCCCCCAAGACAGTTCTGCCCATGCCATTGAGGTGTCTGGGCCATCAACTCAGTTTTTCCTTTTTCTCTTCACTTTGCTGCTCCCCCTCCTTCCTCTTCTCCCACAGCCATCCTCTCCTCTCTGGTCTTCCCTGTCAGTGCCCTAGGTGCCAGCAGTGGGCACAGGCACCTTGCATGCACTGACCCTGCACACGTGAGGGACACTTTCTGGCTCTCTAACTACACCGTGCCTTACCAAAGTTCTCTTAGAGAAAGGAAACGATTTGAGATGTCAAAGAACTTACTTGACCCCTAGATGGATGAGTGGAAATAATGTGGCATTTTGTGACTTTGTGTTTTTAAGGGAGAAAAAGAGAATAACTGCTTGTAATGGTCCATCAAATGCTGAAGCCTATTTTTAAAAATCGCCCCAAGGGCTATTTTATGGGGGACGCTGGAAGCTGCTCTCCAAGCAGCTGCTTCCCCACATGGCAGTGGTGAGAGCAAAGCCTGAGAGTCAGGAGCCCAAGGGTCTGGTCTCCCCTCTGCCACTCACTCTGCCATTGGCAAAGGGCCATGATTTTCTGACACCTCAGTTTCCCCATCTGAAAAATAGGGCAGGCTTGTCCCTAGACCACCGGGTACTATGACATGTGGCTCCTGAAGCTGCACTTTTGGGATTCCACAATAGTCTGCAGCCACATCTTTGGGACCTGTATAACCGTTGTTAGAGGTCAAACATAGGAGGGAACCAAGAATAGGGCAACATGATAACCTGAACTAATTCTGGACCAGTGAGGCCTGGCAAATGCCCAAGTCCCCTGTGCACTGAGACAGAACACACAATTGTTCTGGGTGGGAGAAAAGCAAGGGAGTGATGTGAATTCAGTGACTGACTTGCCAGATTCCAGGGGATCCCCCACCACCTCCCTCAGCACAACTTCTCCCAGCGCCTTCCAGCATCCCAGCAGCCTATAGGTTCTGAGAGCACGCTCAGGGAATTCACAACAAGGAGCCTCAGGTCAGGGGGTGCAGAACAGATGGACACTGCAGCCCCCATCCCCGTGCATGCTGCTATCACAGGCTCCACACCTGCAATCACCCACCAAACCTGACCCCCCTTGTGGGAAGCCGCCTATTGTCTTCTCTGGCAGAGAGGTGTGGACAAGGAGCCCGGAATGCTGGTGACCCTTGAAGCCCTGGCAAAGGTCAGGGCTAGGCACCCACTGTTTAGTCCAGACAATGGTAGCTGAAGCAACTTCCCCACCAGATAGTCATGTAAATCTTTATTGATAAGATAGTCTGTCTGTTACTGGAAATTGCCTGCCTAAGGGCTATAGGTGTATCCCAAACTGAATAAAAGGATGGCAAGGCGTGAGCATAAGTGGAGTCCTTCCTCTTGGGATGGGCTCCTGCCTGGCCCCCCAATTTCCAAATTATTATTTCTTGGCTCGTCTCTGTCATTTGCGTGAGGCCCCTCTTCCAGAGCCTGAATCCTGAACCACGCGGGATATGGGTCATTCACACCCACTCCTGGGGTTCCCTGCCCAGCACTGGAACCCCAATCTCCATCGTCGAGGTCTCCTCTGCTCAGCCTCTGACATTTACTTACTCGGCTACCAGATTGGGTCTATTCCATCTCTCTCTGGGTTCAAGTCCCTGCCCCACCACTTATTTGCTGTGTGGCCTTGGACAAGTTGTTTAACCTCTGACTCTCCATCTCCTCCTCTACAAAATTCCTACACATAATAATCTTCTCACAAGGTTGTTGGGAGGGTTGGGTAAGATCATGTGTGACAATGCCCTACCACAGGCCCTGGCCTATTTCTCCGTGACACATACACATCCCTTTTAGCAATGTCTCTGGTCAAGCCCCATCCTCTCCATTCCCAACAGCTCTATTCAGCCGCACATGGTCACTGCAATCCTCTCCTTCCCAGTTCTCCTCCCACCGCTTCCTTCACTGTTAGTGCTTCCCAAATATTGCTGCCAAGCGCCAAGTTCTTCTGAACCCAGCCCAATAACCCATTCCCCTTCCCATCAAAAGCCCCCAGGCCTAGGAATGAAGTTCAAGTTCCATAGCCTAATGCTCCAGGCCTTCCACCATTCCTCATCACAATTCCAAAAACTCCAACCAACATTCCTCACCACATCTCCACCACATCTTCCCTTGTCCCCAGACACCCCCCACCTCCATGACTCTGCTCAGGTGTCCCTGCCCCAGAAATGCCCAGACCCAGCCTCCTCCTCGAGGCACAGCCACCTCCAAAATGCCATCCTGATCAACTCCTTCCAGAAGTGGCCTGCCTCCTTCAAAGTCCCCTAGACTCATGGCATTCATCACTCTTATAGTAGAGTACTGAGCGGTGACGGGGCCTCAGAGGTTGCCTGTGAAGCCTCCCAGTTGTCACTCAAAAATACGCAGAGAGTAGCTCTTACAGGAAGCACCACCCAAATGAGGTCATGCTTGGTGATGTTACCTAAAAAGGGACATGAGCCCTGGACCCTCAAACTAAAATCCTGCTTCTATGTGGAGTAAGCTGTCCTACTTTCATATCCCTGTGCCCATTTCCTTGATAAGAAAATTCTCTGGTATGGGCTGGTTTTTTCCAGAGACAGGGAACTTGCTACCTCATGAGTCTTACTCTTGAACTCTGATCTCCCCTAGGGACTCCCACATGGGCCCTTTCTGCCCTCTGGAGTAACGCAAAGCTAAATCGTTTGGGATTTCTGGTATCTTCCTCAGAGCCAAACACAGGGCTGGTTCCCAACAAGTTCATTGTGAGTAAGTGGACAGCTATCCACAGTTTTAGAGGGTTTCCACATGCTCAGGTAGATTCACCGCATCCCCGTGCATGCATGCACACACACACATGCACTCGCATGCACACATACACACACACACACACTCACACACACCTGGGCCAGAGTCAGCAAGCCGGCTGAGTCACACGCCAGACCACAGCACAACCGACCGGGGAGGAAGTACAGCCCCAGTAGCAGCCCGTTTCCTGACCTTCTTCCTTTGTGCTGGGAGGCTCTCTTTCTGTCTCTTTCTGTCTCTTTCTGACTTTGTCTCTCCCAGTTCTTTGTTTCTACACGTGGCAACAGCTGTGCTGCTGTCCTGAGCCAGGCGGCAGGAGCTCCTAGCAGCGCTGCCCTGCAAGTGAGGACTTCAGGTTTCTGGAACTGAGACCCTGGGCCAGTCACTTCACTCTGACAAATGAAGAGGCTGGATGTGGCAAAAGGACCCCTGAGGTCCCTTCCTGATCTCAGCCCCACTGCTCCGCCCTCCTCCAGTCCCCTCAGGGGTAGGCCTGGGAACAGGGGTTGGGCACTCAGCTGTTCCCTCGGAGCCAGCCCTCCCAGGAACCCATGTGCTGCACACACATGCTCACTTGGCTGCTGCGGGGCCCTCGGGCAGGAAGCACCTTCCTCCCGGCTGCACCAGGCAGAGGGGGCTGGGAAACGCCCACCTGGTGACCCGTCAACACGTACCTCTACCTCGGGAGTCGCCGCTTCCCTCCTAGCTGCTGACGCCACCGCTGGGCTCACAGCTGTCAGGTAGCCGCCGGCTCCGCGGGCTGCTCCCCCTGACTCTCTCCGCCCAGAACCGCGCGGGCTGGACTAGTCCCCTGCCGCGCAGAACTGGAGGCGGCGCTAGGGAGCCCGCGCTGCCGGCCGCCACCCCCTGGGCGCCCTCCAGAATCTGCGCGCGGTGCGTTGGGGTCCTGGCCCACAGGAGGAGACCTCAGAGAGCCAGGGAGCCTGGGTGGCGGGGGCGGGGCTGCCGCTGACTTAGCCTGCGGGACTGGTGGGGCTGCCTGGGCCCCTCTGCTCCCGAGTCCCACTAGGCCCTTTGCCCTGATTCCAGAATGGTAACAGGTTGCAGAGCCCCGCATTTCTTTAAAGGAGGGGAATCTTCTGGAACCTCCAGGGACCCTGGAGAGAAGTATGGGTACGCTTCCCTGAAAACCTGCAGCGGCCAGGTCCACTCCAGCTGTTAACTTTGGGGATCTGGTCCTTATACTTTTCTGTCTCTTCTGTATGTTCTCCTATTGGCATGAATGCTGTATAAAGAAAAGCATCCACTACATATGTTTAATAAAGCTTTAAATAAGTCTTCAAAGGCCTCCCAAGGCGGTCAGGCTGAAGGATAGCCCTCAGCCTGGTGCACAAGGCCCTCCATGCCCACTCTCTGGCCACAAACTAACTCTTCAGCCTCACCCGAGTCCCCCAAACACACGCACCCCTGCTCTAGGAACACAGGCTGCTGCCAAACTCCAGCTGCTGGGAGTTCTTGCTTTGCCTGGAGTGCCCTGCCCCTTTCTTCGCTGCCTGTTGAAATAGTACTCATCCTTCCAGGCCCCACTGAAATGTCCCCTGGGTGAATCCTTCCCCAGACACTGGCCCCCACAGAGGAGCCCAGCCCCTTCTGGGTGAGCCCGTCATTCTCATGCTGATGAATATATTAGACCGCCTTCCTCTCCCTATTCCTCTCCCCAACCCTCCACACTTAGCCCTGTTCCTGGAGGGACAGAAATAAACACTAAGCAGCTGTCATAAATCTTTGTGGTGTCCTTTCCTCTCCTTGAAGTCCACTACCTCCCGCAACCCCAACCACCCGGGAGGAGGGATGCACCAGACCCCCTTCCCACTGAGTTTCAGGAGGGTGTCCGGCCACCTCCCCAGCCTTCCACCTGGTGCCCAGCCCTATGCATTGGCCTTTCCGTTCCAGTTCTGGGGTATGTTTGCCTGTGTAGGCCCCAAGGTCAGGGTGGGTCGCCTTGGTGTTGCTCAAGCACACAAATTTGAGGGCTGGGCTTTCTAGGGAGCAAAACAGGCTGCACTGGATGCTTCCCTTTCTCTCATGCTGCACCAGGAAAGGAACACTTTTCATATCAGAACCTGAGAAATGGAAAAGATCTTAGAGAGTATCTGTTGCAAAACCTACCCACTCCCATTTTACAGAGGGAAAAACGGAGGCTGGGGAGATCAAATGGCATCCAAGGCTTCTACCATCTGTTGTTGTTAAATATTACTAATCTTCCAGGTTTAGATTGCCTTTCTCTTCTAAAGCAATTCCACATGTTGGCGCTAGTTTTCCCCTCAGTTCCATGAGGGATTAAGATATTTGTGGTTAAGTACTCACTTTGGAAGCCAAAGACCTGGATTTGAACCTTGGTGCTCCAAGCTGTCAGCGACGACCTTGCCAAGTAACTGAACTTTTCTTCCTAAGCAGCATGTGGATAGTCACAGTCCCTGCGTCACAGGGTTGCTCTAAGGATCAAAGTGAGTATGTATCTTTAAAGGGTTTAGAACAGTAGCTGGTACACTAATATTCTAAGTGTGTTTGCTGTTCTTGGATATTTCTGTTATTATTAATTGTACTATTTGGCAGGTGACGTAAAGAGGGTTGGAAAGGCTGGGCCCCATCTAAGGGGCTGCTTTCCTCACCGAACTCCATGCACTTTGTCTCTGACAGGACCCTGCTTCCTGTGGGATCCCATCGTGGGCCGGACACACTCCGCCGCTCTGGGTCTCACTACACCTAACTCATAGGTCCTTTAGGCCCGTGATTCTCAACCGTTTCCGTCTCCTGGCACACATAAGTTAATCACTAACGTTCTGCAGCACACCAAAATCTATTTTTTGCCGATCTGAGAAAAAAATAGCTATAATTTTGATTCATTCACACCCACGGCTATTGTGTTGGCTGTTGTCATTCTTTTATCTGACAATCGAAGGGAAAAGAGGTCAGTGCCCCTGACTAAATAGGTATGGCATGTTTTAAAAATTCTTATGGCACATCTGTTGGAAATTGCTGCTTTAAGCTCTCAGAACACCTAGACATTGCACACTACAAACACCAACCATATCTTTTGGGTTTTATAGTGACGTCTTTGATTTGCACTTCCTTTCCCAGAATCACAGAATCACTGCATGTGCATGCCAAAAGGCCAGCTTGCACCTCTCTCACTCTCAGCCCACAGTGGAGAAGAGGAGGCAGACAAAGATGATTCTTCTCATGTATGGACACAGGACACTGAGGCAGGGCAGGCACACACTGGTGGCCCCAGGCTAGGTGGCAGCCTGAAGCTCAGGAAGGATGAGGATCTTCACTTCCTCTTTCCCTAGGATCCCAGTGACTCCTCTCCAGAGTTGCTGGAGAAACCCGAACTCATTCATTTAAAGAGTGCTTATTGAGCAACCACAAGGTGATGAATAAAAAGCTAGGCAGGGCCGGCTTCCCGGGCATTGACCCATGCGGTTGGACACTAGAAGAGCCTCCTGCCTGGTGTAATGCTCTGCTGTCACCTCCTTGAATTCTTAATAATTTTGAACTGGGGGGCCTGCATTTTTATTTTGCACTGGACCCTGCAAGTTGTACAGCTGGTTCTGGACCTAGGTCTTCCCTAGAGCTCTCGGGTTTCCGGGGAGTCAGCCAGGGAATTGATGATTACTGTGACAGAGGCAGGTAGCTGGGGAGTACAGGACAGGAACATGGCCAGGATTCAGCTCACTTGGGCCACCTTCCCCGGCTATGTTAGCCTACCCTGCCACCAGCTGCTTGCCACAGTGCTGGGACAATGGCCTTGGTTAGGCACCAAGGCCTGTAGCCCCAAATAGCTGCTGCAAGCCCCAAGACCTGGCAGGGTCTTGGCAATACCAGGAAATGTGTGTCATTAGAGCACTAAGCCTTCCTCATGCCCCCTACTCACATCTCACATGTCACCCAGACTCCTTCTAGCCTTTGGTTCCCTGTACCTGCTCAGACCCAGCTGACTTCAGGAAAAAGTAAATAAAGTCAACCTAATGGGCTCTTCATCCAAAGGACATGGGTTTTATTAGGGATTTTTTTTTGTATTCTTCTGGCCTATATGCCTGACATGTAATGGGCATTTAATTCATCATAGTTAAGTATGAAGGGTAAATGCATATGACTAAGCCTGGAATATGCAACTCAAAGCTCACTGGCCCAAGAACAGGGAATTTTGTTGTGTTTCATTTTTGTCTTGGAATAATGCAGAGGCCTCCACACAATGGTTCAGGGGTGAATGGGAAGTGAAGGAATGGAGGAGTAAGGAGAGGCCTCTCTCAAGGAGACTGACTGGAGAAGGAAGGCAGTAGTGTGGGAGCTAAAGGAAGAAGAGAAGCACAGAGGAGCCATGAAGATGTTTGTAGACTGAGGTCAAGAATCTGATGAAGAGAGAAGGGATGGGAGTGAGTAGGGTCTAAGGCTCTGGTTCTAGAAGAGGCAAGAGGACCGGAAGAGCAAAAGAGGGTGTGAGGAAGCCACCAAGTCTCCAAACAGGAGGAGGAGGATACGGATGGGTGAGCATGAGGAGCGAGCAAGGGAGGAAAGTGGATGGGCTTCCTAGATGACTGGCCCCGTTTTCTCCGTGACACAGGAAAATAGGTAATAGCTGGAGCATCTGGGTAGCCCATTGGGGTGGGTGGCATTTAGACACTCGGACCATGAGTTGCTGCCTCCTTTGGGGTGGGGAGTGGGGGCCACCCAATAGGGGAGAGTTAGCAAGTGGGCTTGGAGAGCCCAGAGGCCCTTGCAGGAGATGTGCTTCCTGAGTCCCCTTTAAGCTTCGTGGCACCATTTCTGACTGTGTTTTCTTGCCACATTCTGCTCTCAACTATAATTAAAGGCCAGTTTCTCTTGGGTGATCCCCAGGGGAACAATGAAAACATTCACTGTTCCGGTACAGGAATTCCTCTGCTGTCCCTTCTTCCTTTCTGAGTGGCTCCCATTGCAGAGTTTCCAACAGGTGGAGGTCAAAAAGAACAACAAACAGGCTTTTCAATATTGACTCTCCCAGGCTCCGTCCAGATGGCAGCCTCTGCCCCACCTCCCAGAGCCTCACCAGCATAGGCCAAATCAAACAGCCCCTAGGGCTAGAGGGCTGCCCGCTCTACCAGAGCAGGCTGACTGCAGAGGGAGACCGCCCTGTATCCACACTTGTTGTCTTTCTCCTTCTTGAATGTGTTGGGCTTGGATGGGAAGGAAGCCTTTTTAATGAGATTACAGAGGCCGATTATAGGCTCATAGCTGTTATTGAAAAATAAGGCTTCCTTGAGGATATTTATGAAAACCATGTACTTCCTCTATGGCATTCACAAAGCTGGAGTCCTTCAGAAGCAGGACAAGGCAGAGCAATGACCTACTGTCTCTAGCAGCAAGAATGGACTTCATCATTCAGATGCAGTCATAGAGTTAATGGAGTTGGAAGAGACTGAAAGTTGTAGAGCCAATCCTCTGTATTCAGATGAGGTGACTATAGTCCAAGGTGATAGGTGTAGTGATGTGACTACTCCTGGCTTGAATGCAAGATTTCATTCCGTCCCCACCTTTCTACAGGTGGTCTGTGAGAGACCGAGTACCAGATGCCACCTTGTATGGGATATTTATTGTGTTTTTTATCACAAATCTCTGAATCCCATGTTTATAGAGCAGAGAGAAAAACATCATAAAATCAAATATGTCTCCTAAAGAACAGCAGAAGCCTTATCATGACTTTTGTTTAAAAAAAGTAAAGATCCTACAATGAGTAATGTGTTGCCCTAAAGTACAGAAAAATTGAGGTGAGGTTAGCTTCTCTAGGAATGATGAAATTAATGTTTTATATCTACTATTTTCCTATTTATAAAATGTTTGAGAAACATTTTCATCATAATTTTGCTTCCTCAGGCATGTAATCACA